GAGACAGAACCTCAAGCTGTCACCCTGGGTAGAGTGCCGTGGCATCTCAGCTTACAGCAACCTCCAACTCCTGGGCTCAAGTGAGTCTCCTGCCTCTGCCTCTCAAGTAGCTGGGACTACAGGTGCCCACCACAACGCCCGGTTATTTTTTGGTTGCAGCCGTCATTGTTGTTTGGCGAGTCCGGGCTGGGGATTCGAACCCGCCACCTTAGGTGTAAGTGGCTGGCGCCTTAGCCAGTTGAGCTATAGGCGCTGAGCCGGCCAAGACATTCTTATCAGACATGAATATTCCAGCCTCTAGAGCTTATTGTAGTTTTCAAATGCATAGACACTGCAAAAGAATCTCATAGTTTATAAAATCTCCTTCAGTGTGCCTGAGGCTGGAGGTTGTGGCATCTGCAGGTTCCAGGTTCAAGCTTGGAGCTCCAGCCAGGATAATCGAAGTTGTTTGCAGTGACCATCTGGAGAAGAAGGTCCGCGTTAAATGCAACACCAGAGACACCATATTAGGGACCTTAAGCTGATTGCAGTCCAAATTGGCACCTGTTGGAACAAGATTTTCCTTAAGAAGTAGTACACAGGGCGGTGCCTGAGGCTCAAGGAGTAGGGCATCGGCCCCATATACTGGAGGTGGTGGGTTCAAACCCAGCCACAGCCAAAAAAAAAAAAAAATGTGGTACATGATTTTTAAGAACCATTATCCCTAGGGGACTATGAAATCCATGATGGGATGAACCTGGAGCTTTATTACCAATAGAACAGAATTCCTTCCCGCGTCCTACCTTCCTTTCTTCCCACACTACCCATACTGGTATGGATGCTTGTTTTTAAAAATTCACATTACCAGCCTAAGCCGGAGCAAGACTTTGTCTCTAAAAATAACTGGGCAAAGTGGTAGGCACCTGTAGTCCCAGCTACTCAGGAGGCTGAGGCAAGAGAATCACTTAAGTCCAAGAGTTTGAAGTTGTGTGAGCTATGATGCCATGATGTTCTACTGAGGGCAACAAAATGAGACTGTCTTAAAAAAAAAAAATACTTGAATGTGTCACCAGAAGTGAGGCTGCGGAAGTAGTGAAACCCACTGGGAGGGATCCTGCTGTGTGCTGTAAGCTGGCAGGCTGGTGGAATGGTGGATGAGGAAGACCCCACTTTTGAGGAAGAAAATAGATGGGAGGAGGTGCAGAAGGTGGACAGGGTAAAAGACTTTTTTCTAAAGAATTGAGATGTACAATGTATCGCTTTGGAGATGACCAGACTCCTTATATTAAGTCAGTTGATACTCTTAAAGACCTTGTGGTAGAGTTTATTACTGAAATGACTCACAGGGCAATGCCTATTGGAAGACAAGGTCAAGTACAAGTTGAAGATAACGTCTTCTTGATTCTAAAGGACTCCAGGAAGTTTGCTAGGATTAAAGAAGTGCTTGCTGTGAATGAAGAATTGAAACAGGCTAGAAAAGCATTTGATGGATCCAGCTATGGATCTTGACATCTTTTGTAGTTTCTGAAACTCCATTATATTCTAGGAAAACCATATGTAATAATTGTTATATTTTCTACAGTAAGGTACTCGTATCTACCTATGTAAATGAAAGGTAGAGAAAGAGAGTTTTCTGCCTTTATTTTCATGCTTTTGATTTTATAGTGATGCTGGATTAATTGCCTACCTTTACATGACCACACTTGAATTACTTACTGAGTTTTAATGACCATACATAAGTTAAAGTACCTTTCAAACCATGCAGTTCTTTCTGTTAACAAAGTATGAAATGTTAATAGTGTTTATGTGTTAGGCATATTTGTGCCATTGTAAGCAATACTGTAGCTGTTTAATATGTGAAATCTAAATGGCATCTTTGACTCTGATAGCTGAAACATGCTTTATATATTCTGAAGCTTTAATATGAAAGTAGTCAGATTATTATAAACGAAAATACCAGAAATATATTGTTTTTATGGAAAAATCAAAATTGATGGCTTTGTGCCCATAGCTCAGTGGTTAGGGCACTGGCCACATATACTGGGGATGGTAGGATTGAACCCTGCCCAGGCCTACTAAACAACAAAGACAACTACAACAACAACAAAAATAGCCCAGTATTGTAGCAGCTACTTGGGAGGCTGAGGCAAGAGAATCACTTAAGCCTAAGAGTTAGGCTTAAGAGTCTCACTATGTTGCCCTTGTAGAGGCTGTGGCATCACAGCTCACAGCAACCGCAAACTCTAGGGCTTAAGCCTCTTGCCTTATCCTCCCAGTAGCTGGGACCACAGGCCCCCGCCTCAATACCCGGCTATTTTTTTGTTGTTGTTATTGTTGTCGTTTTTTGTTGTTATTGCTGTTGTCATTTTTTTGGTGGTGTTGTCGTTATTTAGCAGGCCCAGGCCAGGTTCGAACCCATCAGCCCCAGTGCATGTGGCTGGCGCCCTAACCACTGAGCTATGGGTGCCAAGCCCTTCCTTTTAAAAAAAAAAAAAGTAAAACCACTTCCCAGATACAATTAATGTTTTTTAGACAATTAGATTCCATTATATTTGAGGGGAAGTGTATTTTATAAAATTACATACATTTGCTGAGTGTTTTTCTTTCCTAGTTTTCATATGTAGATGGTAGAACTAATTAATTTCTTATATTTTTAGGATATGTCAGCATATGTGAAGAAAATCCAGTTTAAATTACATGAAAGCTATGGCAATCCTCTAAGAGGTACAGTATAGTCTTTTGAGTCATATAAAGTTAAAAAATCATAGGAAACTAAATCAGTAATGTACTTTTTTTTTCTCTTCAGTTGTTACTAAACCACCGTATGAAATTACTGAAACAGGATGGGGTGAATTTGAAATAATCATCAAAATATTTTTCATTGACCCTAATGAAAGACCTGTGAGTAACATTAACTTTTGCAAATACATGTTTTAGTAAATGTGAAAATGTAATAATACTTGGCTTGGTGCCTGTAGCTCAAGTGGCTAGGGCACCAGCCACGTACACCGGAGCTGGCGGGTTCGAATCCAGACTGGGTCTGCCAAACAACAATGACAACTACAACCAAAAGTAGCCGGGCATTGGTGGTAAGCGCTTGTAGTCCCAGCTACTTTGGAGGCTGAGGCAAGAGAATCACTTAAGCCCAAGAGTTGGAGGTTGCTGTGAGCTGTGATGCCACAGCCCTCTACCCAGGGTGACAGCTCAAGACTCTGTCTCAAAAGAAAGAAAATGTAATAATACTTAATGAATAGTGTTTATTAAGATATACTTTATGTAGCCTTGGCTTGGTGCCTGTAGCTCAAGCAGCTAGGGTGCTAGCCACATGCACTGGAGCTGGTGGGTTTGAACCCAGCCTGGGCCTGCCAAAAAAAAAAATAGCTGGGTGTTGTGGTGGGCGCCTATAGTCCCAGCTACTTGGGAGGCTGAGGCAAGAGAATTGTTTCAGCCCAAGAGTTGAAGGTTGCTGTGAGCTGTGACACCACGCACTCTGCAGGGCACTCTACCAAGGGTGACCATAGGAAAAAAAAAAGATGTACTTTATATAAACTGGTGGTATGATGTATCTTGCCATGAGTTAGTTTCCAATTTTAAGTGAAGTGCTTTTCAAAACTTTTTTCATGTTTGGAAAGAAGGGATATAATATGAACTTATATTGGAAAGAAATTGTGGAAGTCAAATGATACTGTAGCAAAACAACGCTTAAAATTCATTCATATTATTTGGTTGTTAGTAATAAAAACAAGTTGAATCCCTATGCTTTTAAGAAATTAAACTCTTAGGAACAGTCTTTTTGCTTTTTTAGGCCACCATGAGTACTACCAGCTTTATTTTTGTATCTTTTTCATGAATATTTATAACCACTGACTTTTTCATCTTTTGATCTCTTCTTATCAGATTATTGCTTGGTAATGTAAAAAATCCCTCTAGGCTTTCACTTTGATCCTTCAGTAGCTTTGTGAGTTTAATGGTCTTCTCATTTTCGGAATGAGTATCCCAAGGCTCAGAAGTCAAATCGTGGGCTCAAAAACACTCAGTTAATTGTGACAGAGCTTGTTTTTGACACCAGGTATTTGCATTCAGTCCTTTCTAGTCCATTTTCTTTTGATTAAAACCATTAAGCCTTTAAAAAAAAAAAAAGACACCGAAAAGATCACAACTCAGTTACAGTTCTCATTCCACAGAGTGTGGCTGGGAGTTAACTTCACTTTAGGGGCTAATTCATCACTTCTAATTTGATCTTATTAGAATAAGCTAATTCTATTAGTATAGAATATTCATGCTCTAATTATCATGGGTCCATTTTTTAAACTGTATATGTGGGCTGGGCAAGGTAGCTCATGCCTATAATCCTAGCACTCTGGGAGGTCAAGGCAGGTGGATTGCTTCTGCTCGGAAGTTTGAGACAAGCCTGAGCAAGAGCAAGACCCTGTCTCTAAAAAATAGCCAGGTGTTGTGGTGAGTACCTGTAGTCACAGCTACTTGGGAGGCTGAGGCAAGAGAATCGCTTAAGCCCAAGAGTTTGAGGTTGCATGAGCCGTGCCTAGGGTCTGCCTAGAGATAGACTCTGTCTCCAGAAAATAAATAAATAAACTGTATATGTGGTTGCCTTTTCTTTTTTTTTAAAGAGACAGGATCTTGCTTTGCTCCCCAGGCTTGAATTCAGTGGCACAATCAATCATAGTTCACCATAATCCTGGGCTCCAGGGATGATCCTGCCTCAGCCATCAGAGTAGCTAGGACTACAGATGTGCACCCCACTCCACAGTTTTTTTAAAAAATTTTTATAGTGACAGGATCTTCTTATGTTGCCCAGGATTGTGGATGTGCTTTTAAAGGAGTTGAGTGTCACCTAGGTTCAGTGAACCATTTCCTAACTGGCACATCAGAAACACATGAGATCCTTTTTAAGAACTCAAACTCTTAGGCCTCCTTTTCTGGAGAATGTGATTCAGTAGGTTTGGGGTGGGGCCAGCACCGCTGGTGGATTTTGTTGCACAGTCAGATTTGGGACCCCGTTGACGCAATCCTTACTTTTCCTACATAGACATTTATTTAGGCAGTCTCTCAGATGAGAATCCAGTTTGGGCTTGCATATTTCCCCTTTGGCAGATTAACTGCTGTCATTAAGTGAAACATCCTCTTCAGATTTGGAGTTGTTCTTGTTCTTTAAGAAAGCTGTTACTTTTTCTTAAACTTTTTACTGGTAGCTGTTCATACATTTAGTTTTCTCCAGAATAAATGTCCATAACTCATTTAAATATTTCTCACAGGATAGGGTTTTCAGATCTCCTACCATTCTTGTTGTCCTTCTTTAACACTCCCACAGAGTTTATATTCTGTTTGACCAGAAATTATTAAATATTCATTATTTGCAAAATAACTATTTAAGGGATTGAGAAGGATACAAAGACCAGGTGTGCCTGTCCGCAGTGAGAATAGTCCTTTAGGGAGAGTAGAGCGCAGAATTGAGCAGATGTTGAGAGAGAGGAAAAAGGAGAAGCCCATGATGTTACCAGAGCTGAAGCTGTTTTTAACTTTGTAAGATTGCTCTGTTTTCGTTTTTATTTTGAGAATATGCTGCCTTACCTCTGTCCTCATCTATCACCACCCACCCCATTTGAATATACACCTATGAAAAAAATCATTATAGCTGTAACCTCATTATGAGACAGCTTTCAGTCACTCTTAGAAAATAAAGTAATACAGCCCCCCAAATTTTCACACACTGCTAAAAATTAGGGACATCTGTCTTCAAACTTCTTTTTTTTTTAAGAGACAGAGTCTCACTTTACTGCTGTTGGTAGAGTACCCTGGCATCACAGCTCACAGCAACCTCTAGCTCTTGGGCTTAGGTGGTTCTCTTGCCTCAGCATCCTGAGTAGCAGGGATTACAGGCACCCAACACAACGCCCCACTATTTTTTTGTTGCAGATTGGCTGGGGCCAGGTTTGTACCCTCCACCCCTGGTATATGGGGCCAGCACCTTATTCATTGAGCCACAGGCACTGCCCTGTCTTTAAACTTTGGTTTTATGATGTAATAATAAAAAACTTTCAATTAGAAAAGTTAGGGCTGGGCACAGTGGCTCACACTGGTAATCCCAGCACTCTGGGAGGTCGAGGTGGGTGGATCACTTGAGCTTAGGAATTCAAGACCAGCCTGAGCAAGAGTGAGACCACATCTGTAAATGTAGCCGAGCATCATGGCAGGCGCCTGTAGTCCCAGCTACTTGAGAGGCTGAGGCAAGAGGATCGCTTAATCCCAAGAATTTAAGATTGCTTCTAGCTATGATGCACTCTACCAGGGGCGACAAAGTAAAACTCTGTCTCCAAAAAATAAATAAATAATAAAAGTCAGACATGCACATAGTTTTAAAATAAAAAGCGCAAGTCTCCTATATTAATTTCCTAGCACTACAAACTAGGTGGCTTAAAACAATAGAAATTTATTCTCACAGCTCTGAAAGCTAGAAGTCTGAAATCAAGGTGTTGGCCATGTTTTTCCCCAAACCTCTGGAGGAGGCTCTTTCCTTGCCTCTTCCAGCTCTTAGTAGCCTCCAGTTGTTCCTTGGCTTTTGGCAGCATAATTCCACTCTTGGCCTTCATTGTCATGTGGCTCTGTCTCTCTCCCTGTCTCTGTGTCTCTTCTGTTCTTGTAAGGATACCAGAATTTGGATTAGGGCCAACCCTAATGACTTCATCTTAACTTAATTACATCTACAAGGACCTTATGTCCAAATACAATTGTATCCATAGGCACTAAAACTTAGGGTTTCAACGTATCTTTTGGGGGACACAAATCAATCCATTACATCTTTCGCCCATCTCTAATCCCTTCCCCAGGAAAATCACCTTTTGACAAGTGACCTGTTTCAGTTCCTCTAGAAATGACTCCCATGCATCTCATAGATTTAAACACTTGATTTTGAATTTCGCAACTTTAGATAACATATCTTTCAACTCTCAGTGATGACAGATGGTCCTTTTTAAGTTTCTTCATTTTTTTTTTTTTTCATTTTGCTGGAAGAATTCCTTCAGAAAGGCTACCTGAGAAATAAACTTTTGGAGCCATTGCCCATTTGAACATGTCTTTATTTTTCTGTCACATTTGATGGTTGGGTGGAAAATTCTAGGTACCAAAGGGGAGTATTTTTTGTCTGTGAGTAGAGGGAGAACAAAGGAAGGTTGACAGTCCCAGCTCTAGCGTAGCCTTCTTGATTTTGATGGTTGCCAGCTGTGAGGTTGAACCGTCTCTGGGACTCCTGAGAGCTCTGACTCCTCCTTCTGATGCAGTTTTCTTCCATTAGTTTTCAGATTGTGGTTTTTCTCTGTTATGGGTTATTCTTCTTGGTAATCTCATCTGCTTTATTTCTATTCCAGAAATTTGTCAGGTTGTTAGCTTTAAATATATGTATAATTTATACTGTCTTATTTTCAGAGTTACTCAGTGGAATTCTATGCATTTACCACTTTCCTTTCCATGTTCTTGGTACACCATCTTGTGTCTGTTCTGTTTTTGGAGACAGTCTCACTGTCAGCCCAGGTAGCATGCTGTGGCATCATAGGTCACAATAACCTCAAAGTCTTAGGCTGAACAGTCTTCTTGCTTCAGCCTCTCAAGTAGCTGACACTACCAGCACCTACCACCACACTCAGCTAGTTTTTCTATTTTTAGTAGAGATGGGGTTTCACTCTTGTTCAGACTGGTCTCCAACTCCTGAGCCCAAGCTATCCACCCACCTCAGCCCCCCAGAGTGCTAAGATTACAGGCATGAGCCATTGCACCTGGCCTTGTGTTGTTTTTATATATTATTATTTTCTAGAGATGTTTGAACAGATTTTTATTTACCTTCTTTGGAACATTGATGTTCAGGAGGGATGGATAGGTAGTGGTACATAATAGGAAAATAAATATACAGAGAGTTTGAGTGATTTGCCACTCAATAAGTTGAACCAGGATCATGTGACTATGAATTTGATGTCTTCTTATGCCAGTCTCTAAGGAAATGACAGTGTCTTACAGTGATGATGAAAACCATTGCATGGATGTGATGTCTGTTTTTATTTCACAGGTAACCTTATATCACTTACTAAAGCTGTTTCAATCAGACACTAATGCAATGCTAGGAAAAAAGACAGTGGTTTCAGAGTTCTATGATGAAATGGTAAGAAGATTTTATAATGAGAGTTTTAAAAGCACTTTACATTGGAGAACTTTGAAGTTAATTGGTTTTTTGTTGTTGTTGTTGTTGTATCCAATTAGATATTTCAAGACCCAACGGCAATGATGCAACAATTATTAACAACGTCTCGGCAGCTAACATTAGGAGCCTACAAGCATGAAACAGAATGTAAGTATCATGTATTCGCAATTAATCCTAAAAAATAATGTGTTCTATAATAGTGAGAAGATTGTGTGATTTAGTGGTTATTAAACTGTGTTTTAATGATACTTGTTAAAAAATAAGGTATGTGTTACCACAGAACATGTAGGAGGGATACTTTAAATTGTTTGCAAAGTAGACCTATTTTCAAACAGGTAAAAGACAGCCTTTCACAGTCTCTGAAATACTATTTGTTGTATAGCTTTTCACTAGTTACGCTTAGCCTGTCTCTCAATCATGTTGTGTTTACTAGCCTTTGCTAACAAAAATCTACATGAAGAACTTTATAGAACATAATTATACTTTTGTTTACTATGAATTAGTTTATCTCATATTTTTACCTATGTCATTTTATACATAATTTCGTGTTAATGCTCAAATGGTGAACACCTGAATGCCACGTTGATGATAATAGATACGATAGCATTTGCCAAGTGTTTGAATATTGAGGTGTCAGAGAAAGATGAGCACAGGATGACTTTTAAGGTTTGAGACCTGAGAAACCCTCCAAAATTCATTGCTTTTTGTTGAGATGGGAAGTCTGGGAAAAACAGGCTTTGGGGGATAAATCAAGACCGTAATTTGGGACATATTAGATGTAGGATGCCTGTAAGACATGTTGAAGAGGGGTGTTGGAACCTCGAATCTGGTATTCAAAGAGAAGTCTAGCTGAAGATAACAAATTTGGAAATTACTAGAATTACACGTTGTGAGAATAAGCTGTATCATCAAAGGAGTGAGTGAAGATAGAAAAGAGGTCCAAAGACTGAGTGTGGGCACTCTTAACATTTAGAGGCAAAGGAGATTAAAAATGAACAGCAAGGCATGGCGCCCGTAGTGCAGTGGTTACGGTGCTGACCACATACACTGGAGCTGCCAGGTTTGAACCTGGCCCAGGCCAGTTAAAACATCAATGACAACAACAAAAAAAAA